TCGATTAAAACGCGTCGTAAGACTGTCTGTACGCTTGACGAAGTTGGCTGGCCACTTCTGCCCAACCTGGCCAGCGCCGCGCGCAGCTAATAGTCTGTCAGCCATATCGCGTATAGCTGCGTAGGTAGGCGAAAATCCACGTAGATCTAGATCTAGAATATGATCAACTATCACCTCCTCTTCTAGCTTGGTAAGCTTCTTTGAGTTAGGCTGGCAATCGCGTCTGGCGCGCTTCCCAGCGCGTCGATCGCGTAACGTTGATTCAGGCACGTTAAAGATTGAAGCTGCACGCCGGCCTGTTTGGATTTGATGAGAATCAAGAGATTGTATAGCAAGCTGAATATCTAATTCATTTGAGAGTAATTGAATAGCGTGGCGTGGAGCCATAATAGAGGTACGTGTAACGGAGTAAGAAAGTTGGTGGGGTGCGCGACTCGCTTGCCTGCGCGACTCGCTTATCCACTACGTTATGTGTATTGTACGTGGGGGCAACGGAAAGCATGGCCGGGCAAATGTTGCGTCAGCGCCACGTCGCGTGAAGCGAGCCAATCAACGCCCGCGGCCATGACGACGGGTCTTGGCAGCCTATGGCCAAACCACAACGACGACGACGACGACGACAACAACAACAACAACAACGGCGACGACTGCAGACGACGATTGGGACACGACAAGCGCCCGAGTGCATCCAGCGCCATCCGTCAGCCTATGCATTAAGCCGCCTTGTTGTTGTTGTCGGCAACGGCCGCACACTGCCACTCCCCGCGACGCCTTGGCTGACGGCGTACCACGACCTTGTTCTGAACAGCCTGGCCTCTTTTGCACAATCACAATTGAGCAATGCACCGCCACGGGCAGACACCGCCGCCCCGCTGAACCCACGGCGAATCCACGGCGTACATAGATAGTATAGCCACCATGAGCGGCAAAGGCTGGTGGAACAATGCTCTCTCTGGCCTCGAGTCGCGCCTCGACACCATCCTCGCCGAAGATGGCTCTGCAAAGCCCGCCGCGAAGCCCGAAAATACGGACAAGGCCCCGCCGCCCGACCAGAAGCTCGCCGTGGAACCGCCTCGAAGCCGCCCAAACTCGCGCCTCCAGGACCGCCTGGCAAAGGCCGTGAACAAGGGAAGCGAGCGCTCAGAGTCGAGGGCCTCGTCGGATCTCGGATCCCGCCCAGCAAGCCCGGCGCTGCGCACCGCAGTGGCAGTGGCAGCAGTAGCAGCCAGGACGAGCCTAGATTCCAAGTCTTCAGAGCCCGTAGCAGACGCTACACCACCATCATCACCACCACCATCCGCAAAGGAAGATCCAGCCGCCAAGGTTGACGATCCCCCAGAGACACCACCGCCCGTTGCGCCTCTGGTCGACCAGCAGCCGGCTTCCACGCCGGCACCGAGCATGTCTATGCCCTCGATACCCGCCATCGTCACCCCGCAGACATCTTCGCCGCGCCAGTCCATCGACAGCAATCCCTCCCGGCCTTCTACAGATGCCGCTGTTCCTACGCCGTCCATTGAGCCCAGAGATCCCGAACAAGTGCAGACCGAGTTGGCGCTGCTGCAGCAGACGTACGAGGACACAGTACGCGAAAACCGCGAAGAGCTCAATTCACACCTCGAGCGCATTGATGCCTTGCAATCCAAGCTCACGTACCTTTCAGAGCAGCTGGCTGCATCTGCAAAGGCCGCATCTTCAGATGCAGACACCACCCCGGCCGACAAGAAGCTGGCCGACAAGGACGCCCAGATTGCCGCGCTCATGGAAGAGGGCCAGAAGCTGTCCAAGACGGAGATGAAGCACCTGACTACCATCAAGAAGATGCGCACCAAGGCCCAGGAGCAGGACAAGGAGATTGTTATGCTCAAGCAACGCTTGACAAAGGCCGAGAGGAGCATCACCGAGCAATCGGAACGAGCTCGTCGTGCTGAAGCCGCCGAAAAATCTGCGCAAGAGAAGCTGAAGATTGTGAGCAAGATTGAAAAGGACATCGAAACCATCAGGGCCGAACGTGAAGAGGCTGGCCTGACAATATCGGAACTGCGGAAGCAACTGAACGGGGCGCTGTCACGCGCCGAGGATGCCGAAAAGAGAGCTCAGTCTGGTGCGCTCGAGGCAGAAAAGAGGGCTACCGCATCGTTAAAGGAAGACATTGAGAACATTCGCATAGAAAAGAAGCTTGCCGAAGACCGGGCCAAGCGGGAGCTCCAGGCAGCCCGGGATGAAGCCAAGAGCCAGCAGGAAAAGGCAAAGGTCACCGAGCTTGAGCTGCGCGGTGAGATTGCAGTAAGTTGCCTTGGCTTCCACGTGCATATGCATACTAAACAACCATCAGAACCTTGAGTCGAAGCTCGAGCTGCTGCGTAGCCGGACCGAGGAGGCTTCTTCGTCCGCTACCGGTGACTCCCAAGCCAAGCTTCTCCGGCAAATTGAGACGCTGCAGACGCAGTACTCGCTTGCTTCAGAGAATTGGCAGGGCATTGAGACAACTTTGACGTCTCGCGTCGCCGCTCTTGAGAAAGACCGTGATGAGACGGCAAAACGCGAGTCCGACGTTAGACGCAAGGCCAGAGAAGCCAATTCAAAAGCACGTCGATTGGAAGACGAGCTTGAGAACATCAACGAGCGAGCGCGTACTCTAGAGCAGGATCTAAACGAGCAACGCGCCGCGGCCCAAAAGCTACAGACCAAGCTTGCCCAAGCAGAGACTGCTGCACAAGATGCCCGAGCTGACTTGGACAGAGAGAAGAAGATTTGGGAGGCCGAGCTTCAACAGCGGCTTGACGAGGAGCGGAGCAAGTCCAAGGTTGAGTCACAGACACCATCTCTGGCTGGGGACGGTCTGCACCTGCGAGCAGACTCGCCTTCAATAGCTCAGCGGAAGCATTCGCCCGATCCACTCGGTATCTACTTGCGGAGACCACCCAACCCACGAACCCCATCCAGTGGCGTCGACGGCATGTTCTCGCCCATTGACCGCATGTGGGACGATGGCTCACGACGGCAATCGAATTCCCGTCCACCCAAAACTACGCCCAAGGCTCGCACGCCCGAAATTGGAACGCCTCAAAGACAAAACTCGATACCACTGAGCCTGTCCAACTCCAACGGCCTTGGGTCCCTGGATACCCCATCTATGCACACGCCCGAGGTTGACAACGACGTGTTTGACACGACAACGTCGTCGCCCCACCGCACCATCAACGACATGATTAGTGTGTCGACGGTGGGCGCCGGCCCGTCTGTGCAACTGGTTGAGCGCATGAGCGCTGCGGTGCGCCGGCTCGAGTCGGAAAAGGCGACGCACAAGGAAGAACTAGCGCGGCTGACGGGGCAGCGCGACGAGGCCCGCGAGGAGGTGGTCAAGCTGATGCGCGAAGTCGACGATGCGCGCAAGCAGGGCGACAAGGTGGCAGACCTGGAGAAGAGGCTGTCGGAAATGGAAAATCGAGAGTTTACGGCGCTCGAGATGCTGGGGGAGAAGACGGAGCGGGTCGAGGAGCTAGAGGGCGATGTGCGGGAGCTCAAGAGGATTTATCGTGAGCTGGTGGATACCATGAAATAGGATACGTATCCAAGATGTCCTCTTTTTTTTCTTCTTCTCTTCAAGCAATCAAGATGAATTTTCTGAGGGTTTTGCTTTGGGAGTTATTTTGGTTCTTCCGTGTGTGTTTTTACCATTGTTTTTGTTTGTTTGTTCTGTATTTGTTATTATTACTATTATTATTCTAGTTTAACGTCCTTTTTCAGCCCGAAGGGCTATATAAGACGTGTAGGGTTTTTAGGCCTATAAGTATCTAAGTAGGTTGTTTCTAGCTACGATATTTAGGAGGGGTTTTAACTAAATAAAGGTAAGGCTCGTAGCCTATTAGTTGGTAGGTAGGGGGGGGGATAGGGTAGGGGAGGTGTATGGCTACTTGTTATAGGTATTACTCCTCGTTTTCTATGTTTCCCTTATACTAGGCTTGTGTCCTAGCCTTTGTTTCTTAAATAAAGGTAGTAGTTGCTTCTATACCCTCTTTTGTTTAAAGAAGGATAGGTAGTAATAGATCGCCTTCGCAGGCTTCTCTTAGTTCTTTCCTTTCCTCTCTATATAGATTACATCTAAATAGAATATGAGGTAGGTCTTGTATAGACCTATAGTTGCAGGGGCAACTATTAGAATCTACTTTCCCTCTCTTATATAGGTAGTCCCTTAAGTAACAGTGCCCTAGTTTAAGTTGGTAGAAAGCGCTAGAAATCTCTCTTCTAGTATTGCTAGGAATAGCGATTTGCTTTCTTATCTTCCACTTGTATTTTGCTGCGTACGTATGTGGATTCTTGCTAGTGGCTTTTTTCCATACTGTTCAAGTTGGCTTAGCCATTCTCTCTCTCCTAGCTGCTTAATTCGCGAGCTAGTAATAGCTAGGCTAGTTTTGCTAGTAGAAGG